TAAAGACACGTTCTTAGGGGCAGTTTGTGACGGGAAATCCGAAAAAAGAAGTATAAAAAAGTTTTGAGCTGAGTGGAAAAGACTAGACAGGTTTTTCTCAAAAAATACGATTTTGAGGTTTTCCACCCGATCTCAGTTTTTTGCATTTTTCTCTCCAAAAAGTGATCAAATCGAACTAAAAAGGTGATATTCGTAATCAGCACGAAATTCTGCATCGAGTGATGGGCTTTTAAGGCAAAAATAAAAACATGTTCCTCTTTTGAATTAGCCGCGCCTTACAAAGATAACCAGTAGCGGCGGAGCCAATGAGACAAGTGAGGCTTGAGCCTCATCTGGATTTTAGCTGTAGAGGCTCAGCCTCACTTGATTTCCGAATTAATATTGTTATTTTTTATTCGCAGGATTTGTTATGTCGAGCACCTGACCCATTCAGATACATACATATTCTCACATATATCTATCTTATAGTCTGATTCACTTATCTCTGATGTTTCTTTCTTTTCTCTATTCTATTGTTGTACAGATGACACGTACCACATATATATATGTTATATATCTATTTTTTCTTTCCTTTTCTTCACTTGGATATTTTTCTATAATCAATTCAATCGACTTCTACGGCTTTATCTAACAGTGCCAGTGCAGCGACTGCAGAAAGATCTTTCTCGGTAATAAATCGAATGAAGACATGTCTGCGATCGACGATGACACAAATTCGTTTAAATACTGTCTTTTTAACACATATATACAAAGAAAAGACAGATTCTATTGACTTGAAAAGTCTTTGTTCGACGTTTGCATCAAAGAATGAACAGAGAATATTTTTTTGGTAGTTTCTAATCATTTTTGTATAATCTCGATAGTTACAAAATAACACATTAAAAGTCACAGACTATATACATATCGGGTGCGTTATAATGAAGGGCCTCTCGATATTTTCTAGTTTTCTCATGTTCCTTTAGGATCCGAAGATTAGTATTTTTTTAAAAGATGTGCCGCGAAATACTCAGCAAAAACCATATCTAAACTTTAATAGATATAGAAAATTGTATCATAAACATTCTCTCTCTGTTGTCCGGGTTGACACAACAGATTCAAAATTCGTGTTAATAAACATCATCCAAATATATGGCATTTTATTAATTGTTTAAAACAAGAAGAAGTATATTTTCGTTATCAAGTAATACAAACTGGAAGACCAAGAACAAAAAAGATAAATCGTGTACAACGTCGTATTGATACTCTTGCTAATCATTATGAAAATGATGAAATAAAGTTAGAAGAATGTTTAGAAGGTTTATCATTTGTTGTTGCTAAAGACAAACGAAAAAAAAATGATCATTCGTCGTCGACATGAAGTGTACAAGGTGTCCTTTACTAACGATGCTAGTTATATGGCACCAAAGGCAGCGTATAACTCTTCCGAGGGGATCTGCATTGAATCCCCACAGATCAACAGTCAGTCATAGCTAAAGGATAGATGTGCTAAAATAAATGAGTCGCGTTTGTCATGTCTGATGAGACGGCGATTGATTTTCTGCAAATTGTAGCCTTTTCTCATACTTCAAGTACATCAAGTGTAATTAGCTTGTTGCTATGGATATATTTCCTCAACTTCGAAGCGTAAATAATAATATTACTTCATTTTCATGCTTCTAGAAAAAATGTTACATCCAAATATTTACATAGTAGGGTAAACATTGAACAGAAATTGATTTTGGATGGAACACGTGCTTAATTCTTTGCACTGCATAATCGTTGAAAAATACTGCATCTTTTGGATATATACTTAACGATGAGAGATCATTCATCTTCTCTAGCAGTATCATAAGAATCGAATAAAGTTCGTTCATGTGCATTATATTGACGGTCAACATTTGAACACTAGAAAAGGCATAGACAAACATTTCGATGTTTCCCGTTGTCATACCATAGTCACCACTTAGTTTTAAGTGATGAATTGCATTATTGAGCAAGAAACATAATGGTTTATTGTTAAAAATATTCATCATTGTTTCAGTTAAACTACCATGCCCTGTTATTGAGATTGAAAGGGACAATACATTCGGGCAGGCTTCCAATAGACGACATAAAAGTGTGTCGGAAAATGAGCCAAGTAATTCAATTTTTTTCAAATTCGCTAGTTTTATCATTGGCCGAAAGGAGAAAATTTGCTCGTTTGCTGTGGATATAGTCAATGAGTGTACATTTGAAAATACGGGTGTTGAGACTGTTGACAAATCAATCTGCGTATTACTACAGTTAACATGTAGATTTTTCACTTTATGAAAAGTGTGCTGATTTAACTCTGAGCACAATTTTAGAGATCCAAAGGATCCGGTGAAACAAGTTTCTGGGTACGGTGGCAGGAAAAAATAACATAATCGCCGCGTTTCGATACAGTTAACATTCCATGCACGTGAAACCCAAAAATCTGTTTGAAAGGAGGCCAGAAGTGAGGTGATGTCTACATAATGGGGCACCTGCACGTGAAGCAAAAAATTAAACGTAGTTAGCGATGGCAGATATGAATTGATAATATGTTCCCATTTCGAACCATTTACGTACTCGAGGTATCTGCAATATATGATTAAACGTGTGAGTTGAGGGAGTTTTTTCAAAAGTAGCTGAAGACTTTCAAAGAGTAGATAATCAATATGCAAGGACAAACTTGTTAAGTTTGGCATTAATGTATACAGGTCACTGCTGAGAATAATCTCATCACCACCGATGTCAATTTTCAAAGTGACATGCTTAATTTTTGGCAGATTACTGAACAGAGTCAATAACTCGTAGTTGCCAATACTTGAATAAATGAACAATGATTCGACATTGCTCGTTGTTATACCTCGAAAATTTAGTCTTTTACAATTAATTCGGCATGTTTTTAGCTTTAGTTGTTCTGTGGATAATAAATACTTTGTTAAATCCGATTCGTCACAGCTTTCTGAGCACAAAATTGAAAAGTACTGCAATTTGTCTAATGTTTCTAATTTTGATACGATATGTAGTGCATCATCGATAGATGGTTCAATTAGTGACAGTGAGAGAATGTTGTTGAATTCACTGATGTCAAATTGTTGATTGAACAGTTTGATTTGCTCATACGCTTGAACATTTGATAATTTTAATGTTACTATTTGATCCTGTCTGTAAGGTAATATCCGTTTGCAATAGTCATCGAACGCTCTTTTCGAAATATGAAATAGATCAACATACAATAAAATGTCATTTATGATTGAATTGATTCGAGAATTTAAATTATGAAGTGCAATAAATATATCGTAAACGGGAACATATGACAAGATGATCATAAAGAGTTCATCAGGAAGATTTTCCAATAGAGACATTGATTCAATTTAGTCTCTATGGTGAATGTAGCTTTGACAGTGATGAATAGTTCTATGCTATCATAGTGGGGACCTTCTAGTGCTATACTGTATTACTAAAATAAATAAAATAGAATATAATCCTTCATAATGAATGCATTAGATTCTCTTTTAGAGGTTGGATTAGCAAACAATGGTTTTCACGTTTAGCGGCCTCCAATCTATGGAGAAGTCGCTTAGTATTCTAGAGCAGATTTTAATTGAACAGTTTTATGTGATAGACAAAATTTTTTTATTATTCAAAATCAAACTGCACAAGCGTTCTATTCAGACGGACAAATTTATAAATACATTTTTCCCTTAGGTATTAACACAGTAGAATAACTTGCCTGCTATTTCATGAGTATGATGGGTATCTGAACGAAATGCGCGTCAATCTTTCTTGCTAGCATCATTATTTACTCAGTATTTGGAGACTAGTGATATTTTTACGTGCAAATGTTACTATTTCACTCTACTTAAATTAGATCTACGAGTTATTGAATACATTAAGAGTACAAATTGTGTCGAATTTATTATAGTAATACCTGTCAATCTGTCATACATGTGCTTCGTATTTTCTATCTCATTCAACGGGTTTTTCTTTTGCTTATCTATTTGTTTTTGATTTGTCGTGTTTTTTTCTTTTTGCTCTTCTTGTTACATACATTCAACACCAACGAAGAAACGGACAAAAGGTGTAATGCTTTTCTTGGTTGATTTAAACTTTATTTACTTAAAGAAAGAAAACGCCGGCGCGTATCGAAGTACACATTTTAAACGTTTTTAATACCCTTAGTGTTTTGAAAAAGAAAAAGAACAAAAATTGAGAACGAAAAGAAAAAATTACATGAATTTTTGGTTTTGTTAGTTTTTCCCTATGCATATTTTCTACTTCAATAAATTAAGCGTATAGCAAACTTTCTGTTAAATGTTATTACTGTTATGTTACGTTCTACGCCTTTGCTTATTACAAAAAAAACCCATGTTCAGAATACATGAGAATCTATAGATGAATGTAAGATTGAAGAAAAAAATTAGTGTTGGTTTGCGGTGACAAAGGACTGAGTAATTGCTGGCAGATTAAAGTTGACACATTTGGCTAGAAGCTAATAGAACCCGATTTTTGATATTTGTGCTAGATTTGTGGTTAGAAAAATATCTTACAGCAAGTTAATGAGATTTTTTCGAATTTTTGACTTTTGGCTTAGGAAAAGTCAAGGGCAGAAAAGACACGCCACTTCTTCATCACGTTCACTATATTGTCCATTATTTTTTCTTCAAAATTCAAAAATTTCTTTAATGATAGTATTCGAAAAATCTTCGAAAGCCAACTTGAAAAATTTTGCTAAAAAATGACAGTCTTTCCGGAAACGTTTACAGAAAAATGAAAGAAGATCTCTGTGAAAAATCTGTACATAATCACTGTCTGCTACTGTATTCATCTTTTTTAAAAGTAATGAACATTGCTTAATCACACTCTGCTGCTGCTGTTATGTTATTAGTTCAGTTGGATTATTGAGCAATCACGAGCTCATCTTGCTAATAAGTAGTTTTTAATTTTCATGGTTACGTAATCACCCTCTCTGCTGTTATTCTGATTAAGTTATTTTTAATCTTGATTCGCATGTTACGTAATTATACTTCGTTTTACATGTTTAACAAGATAACAGCGAGAAAATGCTGGGAACCTTGATGTCCATAGGCCGGGTTTTTAGTCAGATCTCTGGAAACCTCGACTGGTTCTAATCTTGATATTCGTATTTTTCTATTAGCTGCACGTTTAGGATATCGTTTTAATGATATTCTGAGGTTTTATGAGGCGTTCGAACTAGTTTTCGGTAAAAATAGTCTAAAACTGTATAGTTTCATCGGAACAGGTTGGCTGTTTTTCTAAAAAATTAGAGTAATAACAGAAGACCTTACAATATTTTCTGTGTATAAATCATTCCGGGTCCGTGTGCGCTGACAAAACTATATGAATTTTTGTATTATATTCGATGAGGACTACGTATACGGGAAGCAAATAGTTATAGATAATGGTTGACCAATAACTCTATGAAGACATTAGTTTAAACGATCTCTACAGATCATTTTACAGCCCGTTTAGTTGCGCAAGTTTCCACATATAATATTCTATTAAGAATATCGACTTTGCAGAAAAAATGAATAAATACTATCGAATAGACCTTTTGGATCGATGCTCCGAAATGATTAAATATTTCAGCACATGGTAATCCACGATCAACGGTTAAGGTGCAGAATACTAAAAAGTAAATAACGAACGATTCCTGATCAGTTATAGTCGTTAACTTCTGAAAAATACATACGGCTATTCTCTTTCATAAACCGTCCTCTGTGCTTTGCATTCAGGAACGTAAATTGTTATTACCCAGCGAAAGATATGAAAATGTCTCATTATTACTATTGGAATAAGTCGTCGAGTAGAAATAGAAGACGTTCTTAAATAATGATCTCTTTGAGCTCATCTTGTAAAAGTTGAAATAACAGATACTCAATTTTCCAGCGTTTTACCTGTAGGTCTTCCAAAATTCATATAAATATTTCCTATTGAAAGTAAATTCTCTTTCCCACTGAGCACACATAAATGTGCGCGTAGAGAAGCGATGTTCTGCGCATGTTATAAGATGACAAAATGTATCGTTGTTCTTTCGTTCATCAACTTTCATAGACTCGTAATACTCTGTAATAAACTGAGACAAATCTCAAATTTGCTTAACCCTCGGTTACCGTCCTCATTTTATAACTTCAACAGTGTCCTGGGGTCCGCGTGGACCCATCACATAAAATTACAAAAAATGATGGTTTTGCTCTACATAAAGTATATATTTGTATACTATAGATTTCCAAATATTCTTCTCCCTAGAGGCTTATTTATCGCTTCTTATAAAGGCAATATAAGAACGCACGATACGAAGAAAAGGATCGTCTCATACTAGTTTCATAACATAATGGAAGTCCAAGTAAAAAATCATACATCCAATACATTTAGTCTGTGGTACAAATACTCTATGTTAACACATACAGTTGTCTATGAATTAGAAAAGGAGATATTAGTGATTATGATGTTTAGTTTTATCTTCTTCTTTTGTATATGACCAACAAAGTTTAAGACAGAAATATCTCTACTATGTGGATCAAGTTGTCATTATGCGATAGTTTTCGAGAAATTTTTAGTTCTTCTTTTCACATATTAGACAAGGAGCCCCACAATTATCACAGATTTGTCGGACTTTTCGTCCAGGTTTTGCAGGACACAAGTAACATCTTCGTTTTATTCGATTTGTATGAGCATTAACATTAAGATCTATTACGATTCCCGAAGGAACTTGATATCCAAGAGATAATAAAGCCAATTTGACCTTCGGCATCAGTCGAGATTCTTGACTACAACGTTGATTTTGTGGAACAGTCAAATCTGTGCTCAATTGTGATAAAAATATACGACGAGTATTAGATTTTCTTTGATTCCACTTTGGATATTGAGATAACCACAGAGTCATACTGTTGATTGCAGCTAAGTCAATCATGTTATAAAAGACAATTAGCGGCCATCGTCGACTAATTCTTTGAACAGAATACGTTCCAACACATTGATCAATAACGTCCACACCGTATTTCGACTGATTGTAATCGTGAATAAGGCATGATAATTCTTTCATTTCCACCGAGAACCGAACATTCCCAATCAGAGATGAATGTGCGAACGAATCACAAAGTATTTAATTTGAAAATAAATCGATATGCAATAGATGGCGGGTATAGAAAAGCGAAAAATTACATCTAAACCAACATTGGTGTCCTGGGGGCCACGTGGACGCATATTCGTGTTTTTTCCCTCTTAGACCTATTCATGGTTTTTTATCAGGATATTGTACATCTATCAAACCCTAGAGATTACAAAAAACAAATGGCTCGAAACAGTAAATAGTTATGTAGTGCGAGACGAAAACCTGTAAAGTGGGTCTAAGCGGACCCCACAGCACTAATCGAGGGTTAAAGCATGGACTTGAAAATAGCTTCCTCTTTTGAACACAATAGAAGACCTCTCTAAAATCTTTATTCTTAAGAAAAGAATAGAAGATCCCGGTCCTTTACTGTGTCATCCTTTTTCAATGAATGAAATTTCTATTTCATATTTAATAGTCAACCCCTTATCACTACATTAATTCGTGAATATTTGGCAAATATTTTAAATACTCGGACGTAAATATTCGAAACGAGTTATGAAGTTTTTAATTCTTGGCGAAAACAGTCAAAAATGGGGGATTTCGGCTCGTCATATTTCACATACTGTACTCAGCCAAAATGGATCCAAACTGCTTCAGAATATCAAAATATACTCTATTTTATCTGCTCAATCTGCTTATATTCTTAAGGTCAATGAAAAATATTCCCTGACTTCGAAAGATTTTCAGAAAAACGTTTGGAAAACCTGAGTATCTTCTAATTCTTTTTAAAACTTTGATTGAACTTCATGGTATAGTGCAGGCAAAATCGAGTATACATGGAAATTTTTAATTCATTCTGATCTATTCTAAGTGAGTTATGACTTTATTAGTTTCTAGTAAAAATAGCTTCAGGGCTGATATTTTCAGCAAATACTACTAGTGACTGAAGAAGAAATCCAAAATTGTGACAGTCGGATAGAGGAAAATCTCCTTTATCTAAAACAGAGATCAGAACACTTTAAGTTATTCAGCTTGCAGGAATAGGCCTTTATCTTGAAAAGACCGTATCAACATTATAGCTATAGTTGTTCATGATCAAATATATGAATATAAATACTGTGGTATGCGTGTTTAGAGAAATTCTATAGAAAAAGTCATTTATTCTGTTAAATCGTTAACGAGCAGATCGAATGCATTCCATTTCCAGAGAGTATTCTAACGAGGGAACCTCTTCAGGTGCCCAACGCCGATTTCAATAATGTTTTGCCTAAGTGTCCTAGTAAAAAGCCTAAAAGGATTTGGGTTCTTATTGCTTCCTGCGACAGTTATCATACGTGGCAGAATATATGCATCTAATATAATGTCGATACATCTAGATGTGAAGATGGAAAGTCGATGCATCTAGATGTAAAGATGGAAGACAAAAAGAGACAAGAGGTGGAGAAGGGGGGAGAAGATGAGAGTAAGTCGCTTCCATGTTTACATCCAGATACAAATATTTTGCCACCCCTCAAAGTTATTGATTTTTTTTGAGTTTTTCCTTCAGAGCCTTAAACGACTTAATATTTTAGTTTCATAAAGTTTTCTTTCCTTTCGCATGTTTTGAACTGGTGGAGTTTGGTGAAGTAATAAGCATCACTAGAAATACCCTAAAAAAAGTGACCGGTGTACAAAATGTGTTTTTTGTTTTTATAGAAACGTATTTTGTACACCGATCACTTTTAGGGCATTTCCAGTGAATACATACGAAGGAAAAGAAAACTTTATGAAACTAAAACATTGAGTCGTTTAAGACTCTGAAGGAAAAACTCAAAAAACTTCAATAAACTTCCGCAGGAAACAATAAGAATCCAAATCCTTTTGGTCTTTTTGCTAGGACACTATACAGTATCTACTGGCAAAAGATCATCAAAATCGGCGTTGGGTACTCGAAGATGTTCCCTCATAAGCGATTAATCCATCGTGAAAAAAGGGAACTAATCTCTCTTTACGGTTAGCCGGGATCCTACTACATATGATGTACCTGCCCCAAGGGGGAAAAAGCGGACTCCTGGACTCCCATGGACTCCTGAAGTCCATGAGTCCAAGAGCAAAGTGTTCTTTTTTGGGAATCACTTCCCAAAAAAGAACAAAAGTGTCCATTTTTTGGGGAGTGATTCCCAAAAAAGACCACTTTGCTCTTAGACTCCTGAACTTCAGGAGTCCAGGAGTCCGCTTCTCCCCCTTGACCTGCCCTGGTTCTATGTATCGGATGAAAAAAACAGATATCTCTATAGCGTTTCTATCAACGTTGTTTGAAAAACAGGGATGTGCTGTTTAACGCAAACTTCTTGCTTGATGAATAAGTTCTGTTGCCGTAAGCAGAAGTTTGGCAGTATCAACGTTTTAGAGGGAGTATCGAGTTCGTATAGATTGAAACCATGGTAAAGTTCATGTGAATAACCTGCTTCTCATGCTTTTCATAGCAAATCAGGCTTATTTTTTTGGGGCGGTTTGGAGAAAAACAGCATACATATTCTGGTTCCTTTTTTGCATGCAGATTCCAAATCTGATGTTTGTTTTCTGGTGGAACGTCTAGTTTTTGAAAAAGAAGCGAAAAACCCTTTTTACGTTGAAATTAGGTATTTTTCTCCTTCTCCTTTTCTCTCTCTCGTTCTCTT